ACTTTGAATGTTAGTTTGCTGTGCTCTCAGTCAAACTAAACTAAAGTATAACAACTCAAGCATACTATTTTAAACTAACAAATGTAGTGCAGTTTGGAGGTTTAAGATCCCACAATAAGTCAATGATAGTCTGTGGAAATGAATTGTAGATTTCTAGTGGCAAGCATTATCTTCCAACTTGTTTTCCTGTTATATCTTTCTTGTAGCAGTGAAAGTTTTGAAAGTTTAGAATTTCTTTTATTTAATTTTTAGCAAAAGTCCTAATCACTATTGTATAGAGGATGGATATAGCAACAGCTAAGTAAGACATTATTGAAAAATAGGGTGGAATTTCAACAAAACTTTCCTTGAATGTTGAGAATTCAGAAAAAAATAATAAAATATGTATTCTGGAGGCCTCTGATAACTTCTAGAGCCTAGTATTTCCAGCTGTAGAAGATATATGAGGTTTATATTTCAAGTATTTTGAATACAAGCGACTTAGAATTCATAATTTAAAAAAGATTAGCTAGGGGAATCTGGAATAGTTATATTTCAGATGGAAGTCCCTGGTATTTTCAAAGGAAGTCTGGATTGATAGTTGCTAGGAGCACTACTTCCTTACTCAGGAATCTATGTATGTTTTCTTAACAAGAAGTAAAATGGATTTGAATACCTATGAAGTATTCAGATGGATTTCCATTGCAAACTGTTTTTCTTTGGTGGATAGTAAAATTGTTTTAAATTGCAAAAGAAAGAGTTACTCAAGAGGAATATATTTCACTCTTTTGTGAGTAGATGTTTTACTGATGATTAACTACGTCAGCTTTTCTACTCTCAGTGTGATTGATACTGCAGTAATCATACTCCAATGAGCAACCACTATTATGATATAAACCACAATTATCCAGTTGCATTTCATTATCTGAAGCAATGCTTCTTGTATCTCCTTCTGGGTCATTTTTTTTCATATTTTTTCAATTCTTATTTTTCAGTCTTTCTAGTAAATATTCACTAGTTTCTTACTTTCGGATGGGACCATAGTAGCTTTTTCAAGCACTGGCTTTCAGTTGTTACCACTGTCTCTTTAATAATATGCATGTTTTTGCTGGTATTTTAATTATGGAGATTGACTGTTGTGAAACTTTGTAACACAAGTATCTTCTTTAATGAAGCACAATAGCAATATTATCATGAAGGTAATGTCCAAACTTAGGAATAGGTGTTAAATATTGAAGGATTAAATCAAGTCATGCATCTGTTAAGTTAGCCTTTTTTTCTTTTTTTAAATTTAAGTGAAAGTAATTGCAGTTCTATTATTGGAACATCACAGATATGTGAAGACTAGGTTCTGTGCTTTTGTCCTTAGGGGTCCCACTATACTTTCATGTAAGAGGCACGTATCTGGTATTTATTTGTAATATCCATCCATTACTGCTGTGCTGGTAGTATTCAATGCATCACTGAATCTTTTTGAGTGAGAAAGCAAATGAAAGAAGTTTGAAGGTGTGCAGGTTTTCAATCATAGTTCAGATGGCCAGTTGTCCTTTGATAGTGCTCTTACATGCCATAAATTCATCATAGAATCATAGAATCATAGAATGCTTTGGGTTGGAAGGGACCTTTAGAGGCCATCTAGCCCAACCCCCCTGCAGTGACCGGGGACAGCTTTAACCAGATCAGGTTGCTCAGAGCCCCATCCAACCTGACCTTGAATGTTGCCAGGGATGGGGCCTCCACTACCTCTCTGGGCAACCTGTTCCAGTGCTTTGCCACCCTCATTGTAAAAAATTTATTTCTTATGTCTAGTCTAAATCTATTCTTCTTTAGTTGAAATCCATTATTCCTTGTCCTGATAATAACTGTCAATATACAAATCTTTTCTTTCCGTACATCAGTTCAAGACCTCTGTTAGTAATGACATGTATTCAACTGATTTGTTTTTTTGGGGGAACATTCCTGAGTCTTACTATCTATCCTTTGTTGTCTCCAGAACTATTTATCGAATTTATCTGCATATACGGAGCTCACCAAAACATGCAAGCTCTCTGTATACTTTGTACAACTGGCTAATACAAGAGCAGTCAGTAGCATACAAGGAAGCTTGTAGAATTATAGGACTGCTTTCCAGATGAGACCTCAAGATTAGTCTCAGGCCTTTCTTCCTCTACGTATATGTAGGTTTCAAAGGAAAAGTTTTAGTTTCGAAATGGATTAAGATGATCCACAAGAACTTTAAGTGCTAATATTGAACCAGAACAAGGATCCATCTAGTTGTGTGTCTGGTGATAGCAAAAGTATAGTTATATATCCATTTGTCTTTCCAGCTTCTTTTTTTGTGTCCTTGTGTGCCACTCTTCATTTTTTATTCCTCTGGATAAACACATCTTTCTAAAGAATGTTCTCAGAGCGCCTGCCATTCTTTCTTAGTGTAGTACCTGCCAGGGTGTTTTATTTTAAAATATTATGTGCATATATGTTTGTAGTATGTTGTACTGGTGTACTCTGATGAAAACAAATGTTATTCATTTGCACCAGTCACATAGTGTTGTGTGCTGTGATTGTGCTTAACAAATAATAGTATTGCGATGAGTTCAGTAATGTTATGGAAGACTGAAGGAACATTTCTTTTTTAGATAATCTGTCAAGTGAGAGAACTTTTTTTTTTCTCTTTTCATTTGTGAAAAATGTTTACATTTAGATTTTGATTCTTAAGGATTGGTGGATCTGGATCATATGTAGATTAACTTTACTCTGTATTTTGTAACATGCTGGGAAGAACAAATTTCTTTCTGTATTCTCAAGACAATATATCTCATAATCCTAAAGATCAGTGACTTCTGCTGCCTAATTGTAGAACTTTTTTGGTTTTTATGTAAAGACCTATATTTATGCATGTGAATGATAAACATTTAGGGTGTTCATAAAACTAATCACACTTAATAATTTTTAGTTCCAGGTAGAACTGAACACCTATAATGCAGTTTGCAAACTATAAAGTAATTAAAAATAATGCATTTCAAGAAATATCCCCATACTACCTGAAAGATAAACATGATTGTTTTAATTCATCAAAGTAACAACAGTTAAAACAACTATGCAATGTAGGTGTGTAGATCATACTTTAAAAAATGAGCTGGAAATTTGTGAATGAGAAAATGATGTTTGGATCGTGCATTTATATTTCCCAGGAACATTTAAAAGTACACAAGGCTCCTAATGTACTTTATGTCTGTTAAAAAAATTAATCTCTATATATGAAGTAAACAAAAATATTATCAAAGTATTTAATACATTAACTGTAACTTGCCCCTAAAGAGATATTTTCAGAATTTTGTTTAGAATGGTAAAATCTCTCTTTCTTGACAATGTTCTTTCATAACAAATTTTTCACAGTATTGGCTGTAGTCTTTGCTTAAACTAGAAGGAAATACACAGTTTTGACAAGGATTTTAATAGCACCTGCTAACACAAACAGAGATTTAACATGCTGGGGTATTTCATGTCAGGTTTAGGAATAAATCCCAAAAGTCTTGAAATCATCTCTGTTTTTCTTTCAAAACCCTGTGTTTTTTCATCCACTTTTTTCTTTTAAGAAATTATGTAAGATAGTTGATATCTTATAAAGTGTAGATTCATTTCATATTAATACTTTGTCCACCAAATGTCCTAGTTCCTCCAATGCTTCCCCTTAACTTATGTTGAAGAAAGGAGGAAAATGAAGCTGATGTACATGCAAGAAGGGAGGGTGGAAATGTTCTTCTGACACTTTTGATTCAGGATACATTTGAAAACCAACTGAAATTTCTTGCCAGCATGTTCTTGACAGTGAGAATTAAGCTTTAATAGCGAACCTGTGGGATGTCAGTGACAGACTTACAGACTTGTTCACTATTTGCATGAAGAATGCAAAGAGGTTACCACTGCAGCAAATAGTCTGTTTTTAAAGTCTGCAAAACACAGTGCCACACATAGCTCTGCATATAGTTGTTTAGAGATGATATTGTAAACACTGGAGGAAATTCAGTGGTGATTCTTTTCTTCTAAAAGGATACCATACATTTGGTTGAAGCAGTGTAAATGTTGCACTGTGGTTTCAGGGCTCTCAGGGCTATATAATTAATTCCTACTTGACAATGTCTTTAATTTAAAAATGTGTTTTACTCATTTACTCATAGCTACAAAAACAATTGTGAAAAGTTAACGTAAGAGAGCAAAAAATAAATTCTAGGTATTAAGTGTCTGTCATGAATGCACATGGTAGATTTACTAGGTTTGCCCAAAAGCTTACAGGGCTTATACTTAAAATAAAAAAGAACATTTTTGTTTTACTAATGGCAAGAATGGGTATGTTCCACACTTACTTCTCCTTGTATTGGACACTTTTGTGTCAGAAAGCTGGCAATGTTTATTTAGATGGAGTCAATGATCTGCGGGGCTAAATACAAACTCCTCATGAATCAGGTGTCTCAGACTGGTTTTCTTTTTACCTAGGCATATTGTTGAATGTTTTAAGAAAAAAAATACTTGAACAATTATCAGAACTGATTCTGCACACTTGATTTTGCACCTAGGATACAAGGGTAGAATAAGGGGTGTTTCAAAGGCTATTTCAGGCCAATTTTCCATTATTCTTTAAGGAAAGGAATTTGCTTAAAGCTTGTGACTTTGGTGGATGGCAGTAAGTTGTTCTGAATTACTTATATAGTTAAATCCTCTAGTTTATGTTATAGCTTCTAATCAGAAGACATACTGTTGCAGAATTCAGAAATAATTTTGCATGTATTCTTTCCAGTATTCTGAACAGCAGAATGAACCACACAGTGACTGCAGAAATGTCCCATTATTCACATGAGCTTGTCAAAGATTTCGGTCCCTTTACTGCAGGAGATTTTCTTTTTCTTTTTTTTACATACATAATTTGGAAGGGAGTATCTGATATAAGTCCCTAAAATGCAATGGTTTGGGTTTTTTTCTTCTAATGACTGAGTAGTAATCTATTTCTTTATTCATTTTTATAGATTAAAAAAATCAACAGGAATTTTCCCGTAAACCAGCAGGTAAGAAAAAGAAAATTTGGGGTTGTTTCATCTATAATTCTGATTTCAACTGTATTTAATTGTGTGGTAGCTGTGCATTATTCTGGCTCAAGAACTCTCAGTAGATTTTCTTTAGACAGTACCTTGCTGCCTCAAAATAGGTATTTTTTTTTTTTAAGTCAAAGGCAACTGCAGTTTGTGGTCAAAGTAAGATCATGCCTAATATTTTCAAATTAGCCTGTTTGATGCACATATATATATATATATATAAATGTTTTCTTCAGATTGCATCTTACCAATTTTACTATAAAAAGGGGAATGAGATTGTTATGCTCTACAGAATTAGCCAGTATCCATCAATGTTCTAAAATTCTAAAAATGTATGAATTCTATTGTCCAAATGAAGGCATAAAAAAATAATAGTTGGACAAGCTTATGGAGCAGGCCAGTAGCAGAGTTTTGAGCAAACTGAATCTTCCGACTGTCTCCAAGTTCATGCATCCAAGAGTTGTGTGTCTCTGTTTTTTCCACAAATTTTTTTTTTTTTTTTTTTTTTTTTTTAAGAAAACAAACACCCAGGCACCCCAAAGTTA